GAGGTCCTAGAGCCTCCAAGCCCTCGGTGAATTTAAATTGTTTGCCAATCCCGACGGAAAAATGAACGCACAAACTTCTATGTGTTAAAGTTAGAGGATATCTTCTCACTATTGGACTGATTCTACAATAGACGATGGTTTTTGTTTTCTTCTTCTTTTTTAATGAAAATTTTCCTAACTTACAAAGTGTATATGGATGTGGCTTGGAAGGCAGTCGAGCGAAATATCGCCTTAGACATTAGAAGTTAGGCGGGGATAAGAAAAATTAAGTGTCGCATCGAACCGCAAAATCTTCCCCTCGGGCGAGCCCAGGGAGAACGTCATTTAACGCGAGAAATACTTTGAATAGCAATATCCATTATCGCGGAGTTACACCCGAACGGACACCTCGTTCCATCGTAATCGGATTAGGCTTTCAAAGACAGAACGAGAGGGGCACAGCGAGGGAAAGAGAGAGAAAGAGTGATAGGCAGGGTGAGAACAGGGAGAGAGGGTGCAAAACGGATAGAAGATGAAAGAAAAGAAGAGGAGTTCTTCAAAGTAGACGAGTATCGGTGCACGAGAGAAGAGTACATATTACTTTAATCTGTCGAGAGAAAATCTTGTAAATAATCGAAGCAATTATACGAACCGTGGGGGGGGGAGTGAGACAAAGGCTCGGGCGAATACTTTTCCGCGTCGCAAGTAAATGAAAATAAGCAGTCAGTTTTATTTCATTATCAGGGTCTACGGAACAATTGATAATATTGGCTCGAGTAGACGAGCCGATCCCGAAAGCGTCTTTCCTACAGACTAAGGAGATGTCTCGTGTTTAGCTCTCGCGCTAGGGGAAATTGCTGCGCCGGAAATTGAGTGGCGAAGTTCCCTGCTAGTGTTTGACGTCGCGCGACAAATTGAAAGTTACTGTGACTGGAGGATACGCGCTCGACGATATTTTATAACCCCTGTGTGTATAATACCGCGTGCTACGAACATTATTTAGCAATTTTAAATGGGTACCCTACGATCGTCAAATTATTTCGTACGATTCACGGGAAATTAACCATTGGAAATATTAAAAGGTAACCAAAAATCGGTAGGGAACGTGTTAAATTAGTAAGGGCATAATGTACGGCGTGCATGTAGCTTTCAAGACTCGACACGCCAACTTATACATAACAATATATCTTGAAGATAGTATCCTCTCTTCGCCGTTCACGTAGTTACTTCACGAGAGCTGTCGCGTATTCGCACAACAATTCCGGATCGTGTAATGCGCCGACGAAAGCTTTCCTTGCATGAATACCCAAGTATGCAAATGCCACTACGGCATTAGACGTTTCTCTTCGCCTTCGAACATCACTCGAGGGCGCTTTTCGTTAGACGCCCTCCCTTTTCCGCCGTACCTGGCTCCACTTTATCACTCGTACCTGTGTTTAAAGAGATGCATTCGCGAGACAAAGGCACCGAGAAAGTCTCGCTATCGACGGTGTCTCCATGGTCATCCATCTTCGTACGATTGGGGGAGAAAAATACCTCCTATTGGTAATTTTTAATACCGAAGTATCTAAAGAAATGTCACGAATGTGGCGGCTTGGGTTGTTGTACGAAAGGAAAAAGAAGGAGCGTTTCGTGTTTGACCTGCTTAGACACCTAGACGTTTAGTGATCGATCGAGGAGCGTGTTTGTACAGGGTGTTCGATAAAGTAGCTATACTATAAAGTAACGATAATGAAGTAAATTAAAAGACGTTGATACTAATGGATCGTTCCTCTTCGCCGAAATAAATACGATAACTGAGATTGGCAGCATAGTGGCTGCGGTTCTCGAGCGACCGACGACTGCAAAAGGGGACCACACGTGTTCGCCAAAAGCAAACACCTTGAGTGGCCAAAGAGGCGCCTCCTGCGTCGCACAGAAGGTGAACGGACGATGTGTGCTGTGGCGGATAAGACAGGGGCGTGCCTCGGGTTCACGGGTGCCTCGTTGTATTTATTTTGGCAAGTGCATTCCACGCTGGTTCTAAGGAGCGGCGTGCGTCTTGGTGTGCACGCTAAAACACGAGAGGCGCAGCCGTAAAGGAACGCATTGTGGAAATCACTGATTTCCGCAGTCTGGACACGTCGCGGAGAATGGAGAGAAGAGGACTGTCTCGTGTTTGCACGAGATCCGATAGATGTATGTGCGTGTAACACAGGCCCCGTTGGCCTCCACGGTGTGTACACACGCGGTTCCCCGTGTATCGGAAGAACCGCGCGCGTCTGCACGTGGATGCGAGCTTTCGAAATCAACGACAATGAAGAAACACGACGTTCGCGCAGCCTGCGGTCTCGGGAAAGCGGATAAGCAGCCTACTAACGAGACGGCGTACCAGAGATCACGTACGACGACCCGCTTTTTTTTACCCTCCTACCACCCCCTGGAAACGGACCCGACCCGGCCGGACCGTACCCGCCAAAGGGAAAGAAAGGAATCGTATCGTCGAATGGAGGAGACGAGAAAATCGTTCCCATCGAAAACGCCGATTCCGCTCGTCGATAAAATAAATAGGAACGTACCGTGCCGACACGTACGTCGCGTGTACGTGCGGACCAATAACAGACCCTCCCGTCCACCGACGAATATTTTCGATTGTATTCCCGTTCCTTTCATCGCTTCTTTTACACTCCGCGTACACACGGTTTTGTCCCGAAAGTTCCTGGCCCTACGGAGAAGGGCGTGCACGATGGTTCGCGAAAGCACTCGAACGCTGTTTAAACTTTAAATAATAAAAATATACAGGATGTCCCAGCATGGGTGGTCAAAATCAAGAGTAAAGACACGTGTAAAGGAGATGTCCACGGTTAATCTTACGTAGAGGCAGCTTCAAAATGCAGCCAAGCGAGCCGTAGTCTGTTGAGAATGAAAATCACTCGCATTAACTTCTTGGTCGTCATCAGCCAAAGATTCCGGACACCTGAATCAGAACCACGGTCGCATTCTTGGCTTATGAAGGGTCACGCAGTTCGAAACCCTGGATTGTAGTATCTCAAGGGTCCCGTTCCAAGCTTTCGCTCACAGCCACGGTCTCGTGAAGCATGGTAGTCCAAACTGCTAGGAAGTGATCTCTGGAAGGTCGTACCACTCGCGTTTCGACCGTTTCGAATTCCTCGAACGTCCGGGTTCGCGATGGCTATGCCATTTTGTGGTTTCATACCTGAGAACGTCTAGAGACCGGAACCACTTATCGAAGTCCTCGAGTATTCGTATATTTCGCGCCAGAATTCTGTTAGATAATTTGATATCTCGTCACTCGATGCAAGGATGCGTTTAATACGTGTGAATTCCTACCGCATTCCGTTCGGTTCTTCTACGACAATCCCGGCTCGATCGATTCCGAATAGATATCATTTTCGTAATAATTCTTTCATAATTAAATAATAACATTTATCGAGCGATATCTCTCTTCTTTATTCTCCCTGAAAGGCGACGATTCCTGGTTGAAATTACCAATTCAAATAAGAATTTGAAAATTTTTGGTAATTCTTTGGAATAATAGCAGAGATATGTTGCCAGGGAATTTTTCTTAGCGCTTCTTACCTTCATTCGAGATGATGGCAAGAATATTTTTTATAGTATATTCCGTATTTTTTAAATATACGACATCGTTCGTGATTTATCTTTTGGTCAATTTATGCGGCGCGTATACGCGGGTATTCCGCTCATTCGCGGGATGTCTGACGGTATGAAGACTTCGGTCGACGGCGGGTCCCGTGTGACAAGCATAAACGAGCCAAGCCACCGGCGGTCGAGCGAGCGATGCAATGAAAACCGCCGTAAGCGGCCGTCTCCTGCGGATCGTACCTATGCTGAACGGAAGTAATCCCCCTGGCACTATAAACGTAAGCGTACATCACCGACGTGGATAACGTCCAACCGAGAATCACCTTCCACCGCACTAGCAAACGACTGGCATTACGCGCTCGTGTGAGCTCTTTACGAGATTTCGCGTCGTAAAGCACGCGGGGAAAAGCGATCCCTTCTTTTTAACCCGCTAATATTCGGAACCACCGTTGGAAAATTGTATCCCGTGGGCACGTGTCGCGAGGTGAATCACTCGTGACACGGCCCGGTGATTTATTCCGACGCGTGCCAACGCGCTTTCCTCGATTACAAGCTTTCCAATAGCAACGAAAGGAACTTAAAAATAAAATAAAATTAAAATCGTTTAAACGATCACCGTGATAATCAACAATCTCACGACACGTCAGCAGGCTTCAATTAGGTTAAGTGCACACAGCATCGATCAAAGACACAGCGTGCAGCTTTGTTTCTATGACCAAATATTATCATAGCGGTAATTCCAAAATGTATCGAACGTTTGGACCAATTACTCTCATCTAAATATTAAACAAACTACTCAATTAATCCTTGTATCGCGATTGCATTCATTTTCTATGATACTCGTATAATCTAAAACAATTATATATATCTCAAATACTAAAATAATTTAATATATCATTCTTTTCACTTATTAGATTTCTTGTTAGCGTGATTCTTAGATAATGATTAGATTAATTGCATATTTTGCATTTTCAATACTCGCGTTCCAGCGTCTAGTGACGAGATAGAGCAACTGTGAGGAGCATAATTAGCATTAAGCGTGCGTTAAAGGAATTAAGCTGATTATCATTCGAGTGGAGCTTGTTAAACCGTCGAACCTTTTGTGCGACAAACGAACTTGAAAAAGTTAATACACGGACGAATTCCAAAATTCTCAGCAAGAGTTAGTAATTAGCGTTAACGAGGACGTTTGATTATAGGATTCAAAGATAATGACGCGAGAGTTCTAGCTGAATTTTAATAACGTGCTTTAGATTTAAGTTCGTTCCGTCTGTCGATCGCCTGCTGTCGACTATAACAAGTTCTACGAAGTTGCTCGCAATAGAAAGAAAGAAGAAGATGAAACCAAGTTGAACATAATTCAGTTTGCTTATATTTTTATACGTTTATTTTATAATATGCATATGAAATCAGGGCTGTATAGTTTTTGTAACAATTATGTTTCCCCTCGCGGGAGAACAGCAGGGAACTATGAAGGAACCACGAGTCCTCGCCATACATAAAAATAAGAGGATTGTAAAAATATATTTTAAAACGATTCGTTCGTTATTTATTAAATTACAATATAACCACGATATAAACATCGATCGTCGACCGTTCGAGCACCTACATCCTCTCTTCTGAACGTTGACTGTTTCCAGCATGCCTATCATTCGACGAACTGGAGTAACATCTTCGTTAGTAACTTACCTTGTTATTTAACTTATTATCGTTTTTTTTTTTATTCGATTCTCCGTCGCCCCTTCAGGTCTCCTCTTGCTCCCAGGACCAATCCGCCTCCTCCGATTTGCTTCTCAGACTCGTTTTATACCCATCAAAGTGCTCCTCCGGCCAATTAAGTTTTGAAGAGTCCTCATCGACGTCCGATTTCGGATTAGCTCTGTTATCCTCGATGCTCGCGCTGTCGCTTCCTCCCGTCGATACGGACTCCGTTTCCTCGGACTTCGATCTCGTTCTGTTTTCCTCCGTATCGCTGCTCTTGCTTTGCGACAACGTGATCGATTCGGATTCATCGTCGGCGAACGCACCCACGTCTTCGTACTGTTCGCCGCTCGGTTCCGCTCTCACCGTCTGAACATCGTCGTTCCTCGACTTCGTTTCTGTTTTGGATTCCTCCTTAACGATGTACGCGGAACTGTCCTCCTCCGAGCGTGACTTCTGCGCCTGCCAGGCTTTCTTAAAAGGATGTTCTCGCTCCTGTTGAACCAGCTTGGGTCTCTCCGGTAAAAGATACTCGGGATCCTCCTCGCTGGCCTGGCTCTTCACGATGGACTCGCGTTTGTACAGCCCCAACGAGCTGGATTTGGGCAGCGTGTCTGCATTCTCCGCTCTGACTACGTTCCATCCCGAGTCCGACAGATCCTCTTCCTGCGACAACTTGGACAAATCCTGCATGGACATCCTTCTGCTGTCTTTCGTTAAAACGAAATTGAAACTGGCGATGTCCTCGTCCTCGTCGACGGACGTCATCTGGCTGCTGCTGGTGTAGGACCGTCGTCTCGAAGCATCCCAAATAACCTCCTCCTCGCTCTGTGTGTCCTCCCTGGGCGGCGGGGCTTGCTCGCGATAGTCCCTTCGTCGCAAGAAAACGTTGTCCTCTTCGGCCTCGCTACGCTCCTGAGAGGATCCCAGCTGCGCGACGCGCGACCCGACGCTCACCGTCCATGAGTCCATGTTATCGTTCGCCGAAGGATCCTTCAGCAACGCTATCTTCCCCTCCGCCGAGGACCTCCTCCTCGGCGAGCTAATATTTTCCTGGTCGTCCGAGGTGTCCTGTTGCTGCGTCGCTTGCTTCTCCATGAATTGTTTTCTCCGTATCCTCAGCTCGCCCTCCCAATCCTCCTCGTCGCTTATCCTGGGCTCCACCGACGGATGCCTAGTTTCGAGTTTCTTTCGTTGCACGACCTCGTCCTCGCTCTCCGACGAGTATGCTCTCCTCGCATCGGAGGATCTCGAGAGCGGAGGTCTTGTTTGTCTTTGAGCGGGTTCATGCTCCTCCGATTTCCCGGAGAGCCTTTTAGAGTCTGGACCTCGAGAGGATGAACGTTCCTTACCGACGAATTCCCAGGAACGATAATCGTCCGATTCCCTAATCACAGATCTCCCTCTGGACTCGGATCTCCTGTACCGTCTCGGATCCTCCTCCTCCTCCCTGCTTCTTAAATACTCCTCCTCGTCCTCGCTGTCCCGCGACGACAATCTCTTGGAGACCGTGCATCTACTTCGCTTAACAGCTTCTTCCCGCTCCTGTTGCATCCTCGCGTAGCTCGAATCCTCGTTCCCCGTGTCCCGATAATTCCTTTGACCGTTTACGCTTCTTCTTCCACGTTCCCTGTACTCGTCCTCGTCCTCCGGGAACCTTTTGTTGGGCTCCTTTATCCAGTCCCACGTTGGAATCGCCTTACGTATCGACTTCTCGTCCGCCACGACTCCGTCGATCACTCTCACACCGCCGTACTTAAGATATTCTTCCCAGTCCAATCCGGCGTAGGCTTCTTCTTCCTCTTCGAAAACTTTATCCTGCGGTTGCTCGCCTTTGACCGGCTCCTGCGCCGCGTCCGCAACTTCCGCCGTCAACTTCTCCTCGCCGGAAACTTCTGCGGCCAGACTGTCCGTGCTCTCCATTATAACGTTTTTAATTTCGTGCATCGGGATATCGAAGAACAGAGTCAGAACGACCGACACCGCCACAACCGCCGCTGCTTCGAAACCATCGACCTGTAAATGGAAATAAATAATAAATTTAATGAACGTTTACGTAAGGAAAACGAATTTCAATTCTGGAGGAACTATTGCTTTGCCAAATATTTATATAAATTCTGTACGCACCGTTCTATGAAGTTGAAATTCGCTAGAGTATCTTGTGGTCCCAACGTTGTAAAAGAATACTGCGAATTGCGTCAAGTACACAGCATATGATATTCTACTAAAGATCACTAACCAGTGATACGATAGGAATCTGTTTATTATACCTGTAAAAACGAAATTTATTCCTGTTATTAAGTGCACAATTTCGATGAAACATTGTTAACGATGCGACTAATCGTTAAATAACAATTTTATTCCATCGATTAACCTCCGTTCTTCGTGTGGCAGGCAAATATGATCCAGCACAGAGCTAAGGCCCACACGACTGGATAGATCACAGCATAATTGGTTGCCTCTTCAGCGTCGTATACATAGTCCCTTCTGGCTAGGTGCCACGGTGAAAATAACGACCATGATCCCAAGGCCATCGCGATTAACCACCCCAAGATCACTAACACCTGAAAGCAGCGCGTCAAATAATCGAATTTCTATGTATAAAACTCTAAAAATCAAAGATAACCTTATGGATCCTGACATCTCTTCCGGTGTGATGTAACAACACACCGAGTCCTACGCCAAACACATACGGCGTAGCTCTGTGCAAGGGTAACACGTAAGATAAATTGGCAGTCTTGTAAAGGTGCTTTGATCTGAAATTAAAATGTTGCATTAACAACGACGAAAGGGTGCTGGTGTTAAAGTATTAGAATGTACACTTACGACATTCCGTGGAAAATGATCAGAGAAAGGTAATTGTTCATTGTCGCTATGTATCGTAACGTGGCCGACAACAAGACGAAGAAGAATAGTAAAAGAATCCCAATGATCGGCTTGCATTCTAAGAAGAATACGAATATCGGGGCCAATATCGACAACTGCATGTCCAGGGCCAGCTGATGGGTATGTGTCGCGCACTACGAATCGAAGAATTCGTAAACTTTCAATTATGTATCGTTTATTTGTTTGCAATATTTAACCACGTAACGAAAAGTTTTCAATTAATTTAGGCAGCGGATCTCAACAGAGCATCCAGTATACCTTGCAATTTATATTTGTAATATGACAAGCGATCTATATACTTCGTTTAAATACCATTTCTTCGAAGGGAAAGAAATTTTGTATGTACAACAAATTGGTCCATGCGTTGCTTTTGCACAGCTCGGCGTTTGGTAATATAACACTGTTCCATTGTGGCCCAGATCCTGTATGTTCCATTACAAATGCGTACCAGAACACCACCGCTAATAACGCTGGCGTGAGTCTAACAAAATTATGGAAAATTATGTATAGAAAACTCTGTACACATAAGCGGAATTAACTTACCTGATATACCTGGCGATAAAACGACAAAACCATCGAATTTCGCCGCGCTCAGTGAACTCGTGCGCCATGTTGTAAGCAGTTAAAACGCCGCTGAGTAGTAGAAACGCGTCCGTATAAACTATCGCTGCTCTCAAAACCGAGCTCATCGGATTATTTGCAACCTGTTTCATATACAAAGTACATTTAAATGCATATAAACAAAGGTATTCGATACGATTCTGTTTAAAAAAAACACCGATGGTATTGGAAAATGAAAAACATTGGATTTTCGTACACACCTCTGTAAGATCAATTCGATTAGAAAAGGGCAATCTTGATACTGGTATCAGCTGATGAGCAATATAAATGAGAATCGTGACAAGTGTCCTTATTCCATGAATACACGCAATATCGAAGTCGTTTGATCCTGTTTTCAATAAAGATCTGACTGTTCTCCGCAAGGAAAAGGACATTATTATTCTATCGGAATAGTTCCCTGTAAAGAACAAAGTAAAATTCAGATGCATCCTTTGAGCATCGTGTATGAACAACATACTCTTCGACTGTATGAAACTACGAAAGAGACTTCCGTCACTTTAGTTTACTTTGAGAAAAATATATATATAAGAATGTACCTTTTCCATCCGGTACAATTAAGTAATCTCTCACGGTTGCTATGAGGACAAGGCAGCCAACCATGGCGTAAAAATATCTGCAAGAAAATTGAAAATAGGAACACAGTTTAGATTAGTTTAATCTTGAGTGTGAAGTTTCAAGAAAATGAATACGTACAGAACGCCGATCGTCTCTTTCGAGTAGCTTCCTGGCTTCTGTTTGACGTAACACATGTTAGGATCAACTTCTACAGTGAATCTTATTCCTATGGTGGAATTGTAATAGCTCAATGCTTGCTCCAAAACATTTTCTGCGTCTTCGGCTGAACATGCTGCTGGAAGGCACAGGGCCCAATTCATCGTTGTAAATTTCGGAATAAAGTGACCCGGCTGAAAAGTGTGAAAGATCGTAGCATCAATATTGCATGACATATTTCGAATCAGTTAAAAAATAGTTATATCGCGCTTTTCCCATAAATCGAATCTGGAAAATAATTTTCGATCTTCGTTTTTGCAAATAATCGTCGTGATAAACGACGTTCTACATTTTTCAGCGATTGACTATGCACTCTGAACTTACGCATAAAACGATATCGATAATATTAACCAATTGACACAATCTGAGAATTTTATAAACGACTGATAACATGACGACTATGTTCTGCTTGTTTATCAAAAATCCACGATAAGCATGCACGTTTTGCGACACTTTTCGCCCACGTTGGAATATTAATTTCTTTATCTGTGACCTTCGATTAGAAATGTTCTTTACTACGTGCTTTCGTCGCAAACATTCGCAAACGCGTGCACGTTCCGAGTTTTCGAAACGATATTAAAGATAAAATTGTTGACTTACGTCATGCATGCTTCCTCTTATGAAAGCACGAGCCTGCATCATATTAACCGGAAGCCTCATGTCCGGGTGAGAAGCATGCAAGTCTATATTCGCCAGGCAATATTTTCCTTGCACCTTCAGCGTATTGTTATTCAATTTTACGTGCGCTATTACCCCCAAACACTCGTCAAAGTCTCCGAGCTGGTTGACGTTTCCCCGCAGCAGACCCGACGGGATTTTTGCACTCGAGTCTAACACTGAAATAACCAATTCAGTAATTAATCACTAAATCCCTACATGGAGAGAATTTTCCATTAAAAATCACCCTGCAGTACAGAAGAAGTCAGGGGCAATCTTTATCAATCTTTTCAAGTTTCGGGATGACTATCGACTCACTTTGCAGGGCCCACAACTTATAACCCCTCAACTGTCGCAGGAAGATCTTGCCATGCTGCTGACACTCCAAATCCTCGACGGCCGTGAAATTTGGCACAAAGGTCGGCACGCGTAGCAACGCGTCGTTCAAGCGAGCCAATGTGAAAGGTGCTTCCACGTGCGCTTTCGTTTTTGCTTTCAACTCTTCTTCTACAAACAGTCGTAGACATGCTTTAGTGTCGTGGAAAATCGGGGGAAAAGATCACCCTTATCGTACACAATACTCACTATCGGATCGTTTAACTTCTGCGTGCTTAGCCGGAGTAGTTTTCACAGTCACTTTCGTTTCCACTTTCGTCTTCTCGGGCTGCTTCGGTTGTTCCTTCGTTTTCAACGGCGCCTTCGACGCTTCCGGTTTCACGGGAACCTTCGCCTTGTCCTCCGGTTTCGCCGTGGGTTTAGGTTTGGCCGATTCGGGTTCAGACTTTGTTGCTTTAGCGATTTCGACCTTTTTCGGGCTCTCGGTTGTCTTCTTCGCAGCTTCGATCGGTTTCCTCACCGTTTCCTCCGGTTTCTTCGTCGGTGCGGGTGGTTTCGCTTCAACTTTTGGCTTTTCGGGAACTGGCGTCGGCGAGACAGCTTCCACGGACTTAACCTTATCCTTGTCAGCATACCTAACTTTCTCGAGCTTTCTAGGAACAGGGGTAGAAGCTTCCTCTTCCGAATCTTCGTCCTCTTCGTCCTCGTCCTCGTCATCCTCGTCATCCTGATCATCTTCTTCGCTGTCGTCGTCGTCCGTATCCTCGCCACCATCCTCGTCAACTTCATCTTCTTCTTCTTCTTCCTCCTCTTCGACTACTTTCCTCGTTCCCTTAACAACTTTTGTAATTTTGTCTTCCTTGCTCATTGCTTCGTCTTCTTCTTCGACAGACTCCCTCCCACGATCCTCGTCTTCTTCCTCTTCTTCGTCGTCCCCATCCTCCTCGTCGTCCGCGCGAGAATCCTCTGCTTCCTGTTCGTCGCTGTCCTCCTCCACTTCTACGATCGCCTCGGCCTCGTCGTCGTCGTCGTCCAACTCGACGCTCCTCGCACCCCTGTCCGCGCTATCATCCGCGATTCTTTTAGGCTTGTTGCGTGCCCCTTCCGCCCCAGCCACGTCATCGCCGTGCGACGTCACCTCGGCAGGTGGTTTCCGACGGCTGGCAAGCCGCGGTGCTGGCGTCTCGTGCCACTTCCGGGCCGCCGACGCGGTCGCGGTCGTCTTCTCCTGGCATCTGCCAAAGATGGAAGTGCAAGTGGCGCGATCCGGCTGCTCCGCGGACGTGGTAGCCGTTTGCAGTCCGTGGTCCCGTATTCGGAAGGCATAGCAGCTGGTGTAGAGGAGGAGCACGAGCGCCAGTGAACCGACGATGCACTTGCCCAGGAGGGCGGCAGCCATGTCACCGCAGCGTTCACATGGAAGAACCGCTGACGGAGCACTGTCGGACCACGATCGGTTGCTGGGGGCCAGCAACAAAGGCAACTATAACGGTGACCAACGTGCAGACGTTTCGTCCCTTGGTCCTCGGCGGATGCTGCTGGTTGCTGATCGTTCTCGCGACTTTCCCTCTCCTCGCCAACGAAGAACAGGTAACCCGGAGAGCCTCGAGAGACTATCGTATCCGCCTCCGACGACGCGGCAGACCCCGGGCCACCGTTGTCCGCCAGCGACCGTGCCTTTGTGAAAATTAGAACGCATGGCATCGTCCCAACCAGCTACGAGTTTTATTTAGCATCAACATTTCAGAGGCGGCCGACGACGGGTGGCTTTTGCTCGAGGCTGTGGCGCGCATGCGCGGTGATCAGAATCGCGGCACCGCTCGCGCCATGCGGTGTTCCCCGCGCTCGCGTTGCGCAACTCCGCGTCGAGATCACCCAACCCCGCCGTTTTCCCAGAGACAGCTCGAAAATAATGCCGCGTAGCTTCTCCTCGCCCACGACGCCGCTTGCCTCCTCCGCGAAGGCTGCCGCGCTTCTCTTTAGATTTCTGGCCGACGTTACGCGCTAAACTAGCGCGATACCGAGCGTCTGGTATGCAGGCCCTTGGGAGCCATCCAGATGTTCCGAACCGTTTCGCCGTTCGATCGAAATCTTTGATCGTCACGCTAAAATACTGTTTTACTTGGTAAATTGTCGAGGAATAGCGTTTCATTCCTTCTTCGATTCGATATTCCTTTTTCTTTTCACCCAAAACATCGGGTACATAATCGAATTTTTTTCTCGAAACTGAGTAGGATTTCAGGGATATTTCTGTTGACCAAAAATGCTTGTAATTGACCCCTACAACTAAAAATAATTTTTTTAGTACGATTTGAAATTGATTAATTTCGACGAAAAATTTCACACCTTCTCGAATTTTTTTCTCGAAAGTGGATAGGATTTCGGGGGTATGTCTAATGACCAAAAATGATTGGAATTGACCCCACAACCCAATATAATTTTTCCAGAAAGATTTGAAGATTTTTAATTTCGACGAAAAATGTCACACCTTCTCGAATTTTTTTCTCGAAAGGGGGTAGGATTTCGAGGGTATGTCTATTCAACAAAAATGATTGTAATTCACTCCTGTAACTAAAAATATTTTTTCCAGAATGATTTGAAATTTTTTAATTTCGACGAAAAATGTCACACCTTCTCGAATTTTTTTCTCGAAAGTGGGTAGGATTTCGAGGGTATGTCTAATGACCAAAAATGATTGCAATTGGCCCCACAACCGAAAATAATTTTTTCAGAATGATTCCAAACCTTTTAATTTCGCCGAGAAATTAAGGCACCTACCCCCTGTCGATTTTTCTTAAAAGTTCGTTTTTCATTTTTAATAAGTTTGTTTGACGCTGTACAGAAAAGTTGTCTAATACTTTCTTGTAGCTATCCATAAGCTCTACTTCAGAAAAAAGTTTCATCGAAATATATTCACTATTGTAGTAGTTATGGCTGTCTGAATATTGGACCATGTTTATGGGGGTTTTCTAATTTCTCGGAGTCAAGGAATAAGTTTTCGAATATTTTTGGAATTTGTACATATACTTAACCAAAATACGCGTCGATTGCTTTTTGAAACATCAAAATCGGCCAATCCGTTCAGAAGTTATGACGTTTTAAAGATTTGCTTGAAATTTCAGTGAAAGATCTCGACGGTATGGTCAGACATGAAATTTTTTCGGTAATTAATTTTTTTCTCGAAACTGCGTAGGATTTCGGGGGTCTGTCTATTGACCAAAAATGATTGTAATTGACCCCTGCGATTGAAAATATTTTTTCCAGGACGATTTGAAATTTTTTAATTTCACCGAAAAATTTCAGCACTTACTCGAATTTTTATTTTGAAGGCTGCTGAAATATTTAAGCAACGTATCCAAAAAGACAACTAACAAAATCGAGAAAATATATAATCGAGTATCTAGCCACGTAGTGTGGGATAACAGAAACATCATCAGAACATGAATCTTGAACCTACTGATGGTACAACAGTACGAATCATTAGTTAATAATTTGTAATTGTTCCTGACAAATTTACTCTACTTTGATTAAAATTATATGCATAATTTATTATAGACTATGTATAGAACAGATCGAGTATTCATATCATTTTCGTGACACTCCCAACGTTACCAACAAGCGATAGGAAAAGATCACAACGCTTAGAATGGTAGGAACTAAAACTACAAAATTCTTTACGGTCCAGAATTGAACATCAATCGATTAATATCTTTTTAATATGTTTAAAACGTTCCAATCGACCGACACGAGAATTGTTCTCGCATGTTTTGAGATTAAACCCCTCGAATTTGTTCATATTTTCGTACCTATTGGTTGCAATAATTATTAATTAACATCAGGCAATTGTTTAAATAATGCTCGATAGCGTGGGTTGTATAAATAATTGTTTTTAATAAGATTTTGCATAGAATATTCATTTTTCGGTCATAGGCACGGTTAACCGTTAATTGATTGGTGATCACGCCAAGGACAGTCATCCCCACCCCTTTAATTCTTCTACCTGAGGCTCACTGCAGGTGACGATTCTCTCTCGCTCTCTTTCTCCTCTGGCCTGGTGGACGTGGCGGAACGTCGGGGGTCTGCGCTCCACTTCTACTAACCACTACTGACTACTGACGACCTCTGGGGACCAATACTGACCACTACTGACCACTACTGACCAAGACTGACCACTCGTGAGGACTCGTAGGAACTGTTGACCAGTACTGACCACTACTGACCAGTGCTGAAATATCGCGTCTAACTATGTGTCAACAAGTAGTAAGTCCATTCCACTCATTTATACGTATTGGTACAAAATTTGTTTGTTTCTTTTATTTGATTATACCGTGTCAATTGGATTTTGCCTGTCCCTTCATTATTATGTATGTTTCTTTCGTCTTTTTCGAATTTTGACATTAATATCAAGTGAAAATGGCAATGAACTACCGTGTTGGTTCATTTTTATATTTATTTCTACAATATTCCGCGAATTTTGATCACATCGATGGGAATATGATTTTCAATTTTGTATTATTACTCGAATTCTCGCAAAATTTCACTGAGATACTTCGTTGAATTGTTTGGTGCTTTCTTTTTGACGTTATCTGTGAAATTGTTTCGATTCTATTCGATATTTGACATCAATATCAAGTGAAAATGGTAATGAACTACCGTGTTGGTTCATTTTCATATTTGTTCTTACAATATTCCGTGAATTTTTATCACATCGATGGGAATATGATTTTCAATTTTGTGTTAATACTCGAATTCTCGTAAAACTCACTGAGACACCTTGTTGAATTGTTTGGTACTTTCTGTTTGACGTTATCTGTGAAATTGTTTCGATTCTATTCATTATTATGGATGCTTCTATCGTCTTTTTTGATTTTTGACATCAAGCGAAAATGGTAATGAACTACCGTGTTGGTTCATTTATCTCATTATGTGTCTATTTTGTACATTTCTTTAGGTATGAATATTTCTACATTTCGTAGCTTCTCCAGCTTCTAGATTCTCATCTACTCCACTACATTCTTCGATACATCAGTTCCCTAATTGCTTAGTTTCTTTAATATGATACTAATATAGGTATGCGTTACTGTTCTAGGGCATCGAGGGAAGACGTGACAACCGCCGAGGGGCATATAATTCTGAGTCTATAGGGGCATATAATTCTGAATGAGTTTTAAAATTAACGTCGAAGATTTCTTTATTATACGTGTCTCCGCGTCCTACCAAGCAATTATTCAATAAGTAGCTTCTGTCTCGCTCGTTCCCCCGTTCCTAGCTTCGATCACCGCTGTTTCATCGATTGAAACATGTGATCGGCCGTGTGGCTGATCCGAAAGATCTAATCGCCTTCCCTTGGTAGCATGATCCAGGGAAAATGGTACTCTGCTGGAAGGTGTGGAGATTCCGTATCCTGCGGAATCGCATACCTTCCAGCGGAAGTCGACACTGAAACAGAGGTACTCTCTCTTTGTCAGACAACTTGAGTCGGGTCCTTCGGGCTCCCGGCGGGTTGCGTTGGAGCAATGGAGACCTTAGATTCGGAGTCGCAGCCGTCCGTTATCCTGTAGAGATCTAGTTAGCAAGGGCAGTAGGTTCGATCCTCGGATCCGCCACACGGTTCAGCGTCGCGTCGCGTCGCGCCGCGTGCCCCTCAGATTAACTTCGTTCCTCTTTTTAACCAAATAATTGCTTGGTACAACTAAATCAGAACATCCAAGGAACTTTGTTCCCTTCTATCGTCCGAATTTTAGTTTTAACTTGACCAAACTTGAGCTTCGACGTTAATGTTAAGTCTCTATTCTATGTGTCTCCCAATATCGCCGAGTAATTATTTAACAAGTAGCTTCTCTCGACTCGTTCTCTCGTTTTTCGCTTCGATCACCGCTGTTTCATCGATCGAAACATGTGGTCGGCCGTCCAGTTTGTCCAAAAGATCTAGTCGCCTGCCCATGATAGATCGATTTCTAGAAATAGAAATCAATTTACCAAGGGCAGTGTCGATTCGATCCGAAGATCTGCAGTACGGTTCAGCATCGCGTCGCGTCGCGTATCCCACAATATAGCTTCACCCCTTTTTAAACGAAATAATTACTTGATGCAACTAAACTATAAGGGAGATCGATAGAACTTTGATTCCATCTATCTCCCTTCGGGTCTCCGCTCGCAGCAACCTCCACGTGGTGAGACCTGGGTAATATTATTTAGGGTTTAATTAATAATCGTGTCACTCTTAGCTGGGTAATGCAATTATTAATTAAAAACTAAATAAAATTAGCAAATTGGCTGCGATCCGCCTTGCATAGGTCATCATAGATATAGAGCTTCTTCGCTAGATTAGTTTTGATTCTCATCATCAAAGATTCAAAAGCATTGTCACAGACACTGTCTGCCCATCAATTCTAATTCAATGATTAGTTTTTTCAACTGACCGCCATCCATAAGAAGAGGTCGCTTAAATCAGTTCCGAATTTTCACGTCGGTATTGCAGTCAGATTCGGCCTCGATTTTTCTGCTGTTGGAAACATTCTTTTCATGGAAGATGCAACAAAAATATGTGTGACTCGATTCCTTATATTGATCGCAATTATAAGTATATTCGAAATTCAATTATAATTCCCGGCGTTACGTTGCGCTGCAGTCTTATTCTTTATGGGGGTTGGCAAGGTCGCATGCGATACAGAAATGATAATGGGGTCAACTCAAAGTTCGGTAGATGTGTCAATTTATGTGCATTTAAATTAATTTCTGCTTTATTGACGATGTCAAAAAATACTCGCAAAAATACAAATCGTAGACAGGATAAGAATTATTAACATTGAACTAAGAATAGAATAAGGAGCTATGTGAAAACACTCTGATGCAATAGTGTAGCTTAAATAGCATCGTGTATACGGAATCTTAAGTACCATTACGTTTTGCAAATATTCGAGTTTAGCAGGAAATGGAAAGGGGTAAAGGGAAACTCGAGAAAGGTTTCTTCAAAAACGTCTTGAAATTGATGCTTAGAAACGAGTTCACTTCACCTCACAGACGTTAGTTATGTTCATTGAATCGATTTGTTGGACAGAATTGAACTGGACGAGAACCAATTCATAAGTGACTATGGTTCCTGCTACCTGAAACATAACAGGAATGATTCGTTATTCATTTCCCTAAAATGGTAATAACAATACGTACAGTTAATACGAGACCCCTGGTCACTGAGAAGAATTTCATGCCAGTCAAGCAAATGCTATCCGTGGTTACTTGGGTTAAGAATCTCATCACCTATGTGAACAGCAAAATCGATCCATTCCTTATTCTTATAGAATCAATTGTCAGTGACAAATTGTTTTTGACATTTTTGAAGTCTTACTTCCGCGCAAAAGCTGCTACCGGAAACGCTGTATAGAATCGGCGCAGGAAGCAAAGATTCGTCGTGAATCGACGCCGCGTATAAAGAAACCAGCGTCGTCCTCGCCAATAAGAATCCGAAGGAGAATCCAAAATAAATTTTCTCGATGACGCTTCGCATAGGGCTGTTTAAAAATTGTTCGAATTAAAATCTTACAAAATGGGTCAGTTTGACCGCTTCGGTAGTTCTAATGTTAAAATGGTGCTTCATGGTATACTTGAAAGAGAAGAGTAGTTGTATGCAAATGAAGTAGAGATCGGTGGCGAACGAGAGAAGAACCATAACAGAGATGTGGGAGTCCAATTGTCTCGTCAAGCTTGCCAAGTGGTTATAGTCGACTCTTGCCTCGGCCCACCACCATTCCGGCATTGCCTTAACAGTGAAACGATACTAACGACCAAGATTCGTAATTAGAAACGTCTATTACGTGTTATAGAAATATTTGTTGTTCGTAGCTTACCTTGCCCCTTATAGAATATAAGCGAGTATTTAGCTGGCGAAATTGATCCGCCAAAGCTATGCTGATCAGTATTAAAAACAGGTCAACGAAATTCCAAGAGAATGTACTCAAAATATTAACGAGGTCCACCGTTATGCCTTTCCACAAGCTGTACGAAATTATAGAAAATACCTAGTCAAAGGGAGACGCATAATTTGAGAATATTCCTTAGTGTCTAAACAAACTTTCGTTCGTTGAAAATCTCTCGAAACCCTTTTCTTACCTGCGGAAATTGCGACTGGAAATAAATGCCAATGATGTCCGGAGTGCCTTGAAAATTAGCGCACTCCCTTGCTCTGAAATAGCCATGAAGAATGGAAAACCCGTGCTCTGCTGCAAATAGTTTTACCATAATTCGTTAATTTGTAATTTTATAAATAAAATAATAATGTAAAAGCCACACACCTAAGGCAAGTATCACCACCACTATAGTCACCAGCTTGAATTTCGTGGACAGACATATTCTGGACACTTTTCTGTGTTTGCTGGAGAACTCTTTCTCAAGCTTTTCCCACGTTAACATTAAACAAGGCCACTGCATGGCCAATCGCAGGAAAAGGAAGGACGCGATCAAATTGGTTCCATTAAAAACGAAGTTGGCTAAATATTATTAATAGTAATTATTAAACTGAAATTAAATTACTTTTATTCCATTATTCAAAGAGATATAAATATCTAACTCACTCATTTTTGTTGATGTTATCCCCGAAGAAACTATCCTTAGAATGTTAACGATCGTCATCATTGACGCCCCAAGGATCGAAATCACACAGTATATGATCTTTGGACTCCGCCAAGTGAACCTAATCGAACAAGTAGACAGATTTATCCGATAGTAAAAAGATTTATCCACGCTTGAAGATTTCATCGAATAAAAATAATTCACCTGAGGTACGATGCATCTGGTGTATTAACGCCGGACACGGGAAACATGGAAAAACACTGTGCAAGCATGATGATCGGTCTCATAGACGCGTGCAAACTGTCAGTTTGAGGGTTGAAAGCAACCGTGGGGGGTACCGCAGGGCCTGACACTAAGAATTTAATTAGAACAACGCTCTGTATAACTAAATTTCTTAAACATTGTTACTCACTGGTGGTAACCTCTGGCTTCAGATTATTAAATTTGTCGAACTCCGTGGAATCTTTGGACGGTCTGAAATTTTCATCGATAGTTCGGTGAACAATTTTGTAACAAACCGAGTAATGTCTATTACATTACTTGTGACACAAGACTAAAAAAGAAAAGGGTGAACAGTTTTTTAATGGACGATTCGATTCACTTCACTTTTATGCGCAGCAATTGAACGCTATTCATCGGTACAAAGCCACGGCAAACGACAAACATGAATTAAACGTAGCTAGATAGTACCACGGTGGATATTTGATCGCGATGATCTATGAATTACAGCGTTTCGCGATCGACGGTGTGCACGGCACAGGATCGCATGGTGAACAGAAGATAAACTCGTTATTTCAGAGTTTTACCATGCATCGGGGACAAAGGGTGGAGGGTGTTTTATAGACAGTGGAAGGTCAATAAACGTCCGCTTGGACAACCACTGGAAATATCGGTTTGATTGGACATCGTATACATAGCTAGCAAAAGTCTAATATACACTTGTACTTATCATCGTAAAGCTGAAGCCATTATACGAATAAAAGGAATGTAAATAAATTACAACTAGGGGTTTGATAACCTCGAGTGTCTAGTCTAATTACGAATGGAATGGTCTTTTTAAACTGATCATTTATTAACACTAAACCTACCACGAACCGGTCAAATGACTAATATTCTTATTGTTTGTTTTCTGAGAAAAATATGTAGTCTCTTTTGTCTATAACGATCGGCCGTTTTATTTTGGCCTCTAGAATCTCCCATTAAAATTTGTCCCAGGAGTGGCCTAACACCCTGTATTATAGTCCAGTATTCAGTTTCCATTGTCTTAGGACAGTCTAATAACGCGTATTAAAAATACTAAAACTTTAGACGCGTGCAGTTCCGAAACTACTAGGGATATATTAATTATTAAGGTATTGTTAGAAGCGGCCAGGCCTCCCCTTTAAAACGGTTTTTGGTTTTTGTCGATCGGACTTACCGTTTTCGAGATATCATAATTGATGTAAAAGGTAATTTTTTAAATTCTGCTGTCTCTCGCTTCCCCATATTAGACAAGGCTATTAACGCGTATTAAAAATAGTTAAACTTTGGACGCGTGCAGTTCCGAAACTACTAGGGATTTATTAATTATTGAACCACTGTTGGCAGCGGTGAACCTTCCCCTTTAACACGGTTTTTGGTTTTTGACGATCGGACTTTCCGTTTTCGAGATATCGTAATTTATGTAAAGGGGTATTTTTCTTAATTTGACTATCTCTGTCTCCGTCTGACGCGTCGCGCTGGACCTCCTTGTCGCACGTGAGTCGTGACTTTCGTGACCTACTTCCGCGTAGTATTTCCAAGAATTTACTACGCACTGTTTACTATTTTCGCGCGCGCGAGTTCATTGATTATCAATGGACGTAAACAAAGGCTTCGGACCGTCGTATCTCCGAAACTAGCCACCGCATCGACTTGAAATTAAAATCGCTATATCTCCGGAACTAATAAAGCTATCGACTCGTACAAACGCTCGTTTTAAAGGGCATTTCATCCCCTATCCGATGACTATAACAACTATTATAATTTATGCTATCTTCTATGTTTATTTTCACATTTACTTTGACGCTACATACCTAATGAAGTTTCAAGAATTCCTACTGATCGTACGACTGTATATTATACGATATAATGCAAAAATTAGGCGATTAGAAATCATTTGACCGGTCATGGTAGGAATAGGTATACACGAAGTGTCGGTAGGTTTAGTGTTAATTAAGTTAATTAGTTTGAAATTGCATTTGTGAAATATACCGCGACGTAGTCGTCCGTATTAATCTACTTTTGAGAACTTGCAAAGCACAACGTATTCGCAGATTGCAGTCTGAGAAATACTGGACTAATGGACACGATTTAAATCTAGAGCACCCTCCTAACAACTAATCATTTTTCATTGTTTCTTTATTGTCTGAATCATTTAACACAACAGTGATTACATCTAAGTCGTTACTTCCCTCGGATAATTCTCATTCCTTCATACCTGTGTTCGTCTCCATTTTCACATCGTTTCATATTTTTAACATCGTGAAAAATTCCCACATAATTTAGATTATTTCAAGGCACGAACTTGACGTTTCCATGATTTAAGTCATGATTAATTGCATGCTCTTAAACGTCATCAAATAAAACAAGGAAGAATCGTTTCAAAAACAGTGGATTTTATTCCTAAACAAAAGTGCTTCGTACTAGTTAAAATTTTTATATCGAGGGACTCGCTGGAACTCTATTAGTTGTACGTATATTATTACAAATACTTTCAGATAGACTGGCAGCATTTCACTCCCACACGCCCCTAATAAAACCCATTATTTTCCTCTTATCTTTTAACAGCGTTCCTACCTAGAAAAAACTCTTAATCGTTGGTTAAGGACAACTTAGTGGCCTTCACCCTTCGATATACATATTTTCAGGTCATTGAAATCAATGAGGAATCGTCGCTAATGTGCATAATTATCAACTCTCTTATTAATCATAGAATATATTCTACGTATCACGAATTTGCGAACCACTGTTCGCGTCTGCATATTTATGCGTCTCGATGCACGATTTAAAAAAGAATATCAAACTTCCCTTTATACGTACCTAACATTGATTGATATCATGTTTTGACTCTTTATCACTGACAAACTTGGAGGCCGCATGTCGTTGAATGTTTCTTTTATGTCACTGTAATCCGTCATACTATGTAATATCATGACATCGAGAATTGTTCACAACGAGTATACAGTAACGAATGTTTCGATATTGAAAATAATTATAAATCACGATTGTAAAATCACATTTACTTCGATCAACAAAATATGTTTTGTATTGCTAAAGAATTAGAAGAGGACGAATACAAAAGGGAATAAGAATACAAACTATTACTTAAATTTAAACTTTCAAATGAGTTCCTGGTACGTGTGCCCATTAAAATTGGGGTGTTTTGGGCGTGGAAGAAAAAATGGAAGAAACAGGTAGTAGTCGTGACTCGATGACCGGATATCACACGCTGAGGACAACTTCCGTTGGAGAACACGTCGGAAAATGAACTGATAGATATACGGGAGGACTGAATAAGCTATTGTTTATATAGTGCGCCTATAACCTATGACAGAGAAATAACAGATATGCATCACCGAGTCTAGGTTTATAGAGGGTGGTGCAAATAAAGTGCTACCAGCTGTTTCTTCGGAAACTATTAGAAACAGTGACAAAATTCCTTCTTTGGATTTGTAAGATTCTCGAGGCTTTATCGTTCGACGAACAATCCCAACGATCATTGCATTACATGCAAATAATTGTAACACTTTATGTGTACCAACCTGTATGTGAACGGACATTTGACACACTTGTCTCTAATGATAACCAATGGTTGCACGTTTTATCGAGCGGCGCGCAACTTCCGGAACTCTCCTTTTAATTTAAAGTACTCGAATGTCCCGCAGAACCACCCAGCATAAATTTTTTAGACGAGCAACAATCGCATTTTGCTTTCGTTCCCATGGAACGCGCGTTTCGTTCCACGTTAGGCGTTCTATATTTTGAACGTTATCTGACAGACTTAGATAAGAACAATGGTGTTTGATACGGTAACACTTTTTATTACAGCTGAATCATAGCTTTCTTATAGCTGGATAGTCGTTTTCGCGAAATGTCAAGCACATCTGTCTTTCTTCCTCGATTGAAGCAAACCATTATCTACTGTTTGTTCAAACCAGTAACGATCCAAGGTATTTATCAGGATAGAAATACATTCATCAATCAACTTCATCGTTGTCCGGAAACAACGTACATGAAAGTGGTAGTTAAGCAGTTTCTAGAAATCATCAAAAGTTGAACTTGGTGTTATGTCGAAGTACTTGATCCTCGTACGAGATGTAAAATAATATTCTTTCTCGCAAATTTTTGAACGATAGCATAAAGGTAATATTTTTAAAAGGGAAAGCTGAATCATATATACTTTTGTACATTTTTTAATGGTGTTTATTCATAGCGACACGTCGTCTCGTTGGTTCAATATCTACCGCACCAGTAGTGTTCCCGTATACCGTGAAGAAACGATAACCTGACAGGTTGTGTAAACGGAATTTTTCTAGCATCACGCCGCTTGAATTTACTTCCAGGGAAAAGGAACGCGTATGTGAATTTTATCCCGTTATTTTGACCAATATTAATATCTTTAATATCTGTAGAATCTCGATATCGAAGATACCCAAAGTCTTTCTTTACTTATTAAAATATATCATTAGATTGAATACATTTTAGAGTCAAAGTAACCTCGTATATTATGATGTACTATTTTTACTTTCTCCCTTACTAATCTATTAAACAATTTTCTGTTACAGAGCATATTCCTACGGAAGTTTTAGGTTTATACAGGTAACAATTAAGTTACAATTTTGTTTGATATTGTTTGGTTTGTGTTTCAGGAAATCATCGTGGGATAAATAGAAGATAGAAGAGAAAATAAGTATGTTTCAGGAAATCTTCGTCAAAGGATCAAGAAGTAAGAATACATTTTCTATATATTTTCTTAGATGATTAAATAGGTAGGACGTAAATGAAATTAGGTCAATGGTTACATTTCTCTGTTTTATTGATACGAATTTACAGGCAAATTCTTTCGTTGTTCTCTTCGTTGGTTATTCCCTTCGTTGGTTGTTCTCTTCGTTGGTTGTTCCCTTCTTTGGTTGTTCCCTTCGTTATTTGTTCCCTTCGTTATTTGTTCCCTTCGTTGGTTGTTCCCATCGTTGGTTTCACTTTCGTTTGTTTCTTCTTCGACCAACGATTGTTAAATAGAATGGAGGGTGGTTGGGAATCGGTTAGGGCGGGTCTCCATTCGCAGCAACCTCCTCGTGGTGAGACCTGGATAATACTATTTAGCGTTTAATTAATAATCGTATCACTCTTAGGGGTAATGCAATTATTAATTAAAAACTGAATAATATTAGCGAATTGGCTGCGATCCGCTTTGAAAATCCATAAGGTGAAAGGTCTTCTCGTATACCTGGTCTGTGATTATTATTCCAACAAATAACTATTAACAATAAATAAGTAATTATCAATAACAGGTAAATAACAATTATGAACGTTGTAACAAGTATATATTACCTTCCATTACATGTGTACAAATTTTGAATGTACATATTCATTATTTAACTATAAAAATATTCAAATAATTTGAATTATTTAAATTATTTCTCGCAATATTTAATTTTAATTCCAACCGTTACGAGCGCAGGAATCGTATTCTAATCTAGTCGATAATGTTGGTAGTGACACTGAAATGGTAAGGGGTATGCGATGCTTCTATTTTTCATAGCATGTAAGAAACATTGTTTGCCACGTTTATTTTATACTTCGTCTATGGTAATAATAAATCCTATAAAATGAAATGTCTTTTCTTTACCTCGTATGTGAAATGACTTGACTGGTAAAGTCAATTGAGGATACTTAAATAAGATACCTTTAGAAGCTGGCGCCTCGTGCATGGTCATATGCGTAAACCGCTAGCAAATTTTACATTTATCATATTCAGATACAGGAATTATACATGTATATAGGCAAAAAATTAAAAATGAAAGTTATACAAATAATACGAATGCATTATAATTGTACAAATGCAAATTAAATACTTTTAAGTTATATGAACAGAACGATCTCATATTAAGAAACTTTCCCAGCTTTAAAGTATAATGTTTATTATAGTTAATATTTTAAAACACTTGACGATGTTACGATCGATTCGTTCGCAAAAATGTCGAGGATGAAATAAAGTTGATTCGGGCGAGTGCCTGTCGAATACAAAATCTCAAGTGACACGTTTGTGATCGCGTCGATCCCGGACAGAGTCCAGCAAATATGTTCGTAATTAAAACGGAACATTTACACGAAATTCTGAATTAAAGAGTATGAATCCTTGTGAAAATAAACGGAGGAAACGATTCTTTTAGAGACTGTATAAACGTCGAGAATTTTTGAGGCTATCCGGTCGACGTCGATTACAAATTTCGACATTCCACATGATTGCACAACATGAAAGCCTTCGCCGAGAATCCGTTCTTCTTGTTCGTTGACAACGTGCCGCCTATTTTCTCCGTCGACGCATCGGAGGACGCGACGAAGATCGTCGAGTTGTTCGACACCGGTTGCGACGCCAGGATGCCCACAACCGCGTTGTCTCGAAACTCTAACCAATATCATGCTCCAAACAATTCCAAAGTTAGAGGAAAGGAAAGCTGGAGACCGTACTCCGAAGGAGGATCCGGGAACAAATTCTGCAAAGATAGATTTCATGGACACAGTGAACGGGTAGCAACGGATACTGGAAAATTGTATTTTATTCCCAAGGAAGACGAAAATGACCGTCAGGTAACTTTGCGTTAATGGCTACAGATAAATTTCTGCTTCCAAGAGAATATTTCATTTCGTTTCCAACATTGCAACTTAAACAGTAATATTATAATCATTTTGGACAGTCTAAAAGCATTTAAAATATTAAAACTGATAAAAAATCAGCTCTCGTTGCTAAATTGTCTCGTCGTGCATGGTTAAAATTTTCCCTTTTTCTTCGATCGATCTCGCAGCGCTATTGGAGACAATGTTCGGCGCACGGCGAATTCGACGACCCAGCGTTCGGAAGAAATCCAGAAAAACGAGGCTTCAGAACGAATTGGAGGTTGTCGGAGGAGAGAACGAGGTCGCGTCATTGGAATCGCCACGATTTGCGCGACATTCAGCAGAAAGTGCACGTTTGCGATCGAATGCCACAGAATTTTCGAAACGATCGCCAGTCTCAAGCACGAAAGAGGCCGAAAACCAACCCGGATGAGGCTCGTCCACATGTTATTCGTCCGAATTCCCGGAAAATGGCTTTCGATTCTGAACGCACGGATCATTGGCAGAGGCTGAACACTTTCGTGTACGATCTGGAGAATCCCATCGATACTTCGAAGAAGAAACCTGTAAGCAATTCGAGGATGACGAGTTCACCGACGTCCAACGACGTCTCGAGACGAAGGGACGAGGCTCAGAGATCGCGGGGGAGGACCTGTTCGCCGCCCTACAATCGACGAAAAAGGACACGTTCTTGCTCGAAGCCTGGTCGCGAGGACTTTCGAGACTTTGAGGAAGCAGCAAATAAGAATTTGGTCGATTCTTCCGAGAACTCGACTCGATACGTGGACCGTGCAGTGGACAGGGACAGTCTGTCCGACATTTTGAACGTCACTGCTTCCTTCGAACGCGTTTCCAACAAACCCAAGAACGACGAAACGAAGGCGAGGAGAGGGTTTTGGGAGTTTATCCCTTTGGAAGACGAAAATGGTCAGGAGAAGGTCTCCGGAAGTCTGAAGATTCCCAGCTCTGTACAGCAGAATGGTTATTTGGCCAGCAAGAGCTATCCTTTGACGAAACGTTCGATGAAAATTGTTCAAAATGTCGCGAATCAGGGCTTGGTCGAAACAGCAACTAACGACGAGATAAATGGTCACAATAAACGCGACGCTAAGGTTGAGAATAGATTTGCGTTTGGGTGGACCGGAAGATCTGGTCGATACTCGAGAAGATCGAACAGCAAGACGAGATCCGTCTCTGACGATAAGAAGGTGGCAACGAACGGTGATCCTGAGGATAGAAAAGCTGAAATGGACCTGGTGGAGAAGACTGCAGCTCAGCTGAAGCGCAAGCTCGAAGAATCAAA